TGAGGGGCAGGGGGTGTGAGGGGATCTCTGAGGGGCAGGGGGTGTGAGGGGATCTGTGAGGAGGGTGAGAAGGGGGGTTGTGAGGGGGTCTGTGAGGAGGGGCCCGTGAGGGGATCTGTGGAGGCCGGGGGCTGTGATGGACCCGCGGAGGTGACCGGCCCCGTTCCCCAGCCGTGGTGGGCGGCGGGATCGGCGGCTCGGCCGCCGCGTATTTCCTGCGGCAGAAGTTCGGCCCGGGCGTGCGGCTGGACGTGCTGGAGAAGGCGGCGGTGGGCGGCCGGCTGGCCACGCTGGACGTCGAGGGGGCCGCCTACGAGGCCGGGGGGTCCATCATCCACCCCCTCAACCTGCACATGAAGCACTTTGTCAAGGAATTGGGTGAGTGAGGATCCCCAATCCAGCTCCCAAATCATCCCTTGGTCCCAAAATCATCCCCCTGGCATGCTCTGGATCCCACTCTGCTGGGGGACATCCCTCTAAAGAACAGGTCTTGGTTGCCCTCCTTTCTTCCACAATAGCCCATCCATATCCTTCCCAAGAGCCTTCCTTCCTTTCCCAAATAGCCTTCCATATCCTTCCTCAATAGTCCCCCCTCTTCTTTTCCCAATATCCCCCCATATCCTTCCCCAGCAGTCCTCCTCCTTTTCCCAAATCCCCCTCATGTCCTTCCCCAGCAGTCCCCGTTTCTTCCTCAATAGCCCCCCATGTCCTTCCCAAGAGCCCTCCTTCCCTTCCCAAATAGCCCTTCATATCCCTCCCTAATGGTCTCCCTTCTCTCCCCAATATCCCCTCCATGTCTTTCCCCAATAACCCCCTCATATCTTCTCCCTATAGCCCCTATGGTACCCCAGCCCCCCTCCAGGCAAAGGAAACCCACATCCCAATGGAAATGGGACACCCCCTTCCCATGGGTGACCCATTAATGCCTTAATAAACATCCAAAAGTCACCTCACATCACTCCCTGGCTCCTTGTCAAGAGCTAATTCCCCTTTCCACCCCTCGGGAATCCAATCTCGTCACTCACCCTTATCAATGCAAAGCCAGGTTGTCTCAGGAAGTTAAAATCAAGGTGTAAGAGCTCTTCCTTTCCCTAAATTAATGTTTTCCACCCCTTTTCCTGAAGGCCTCTCAGCCGCCCCAGTCCCGGGCAGCCTCGCTGGGGTTTACAACGGGGAGGAGTTTGTGTTTGAGGAGAGCAGCTGGTACATCATCAACGTCCTCAAGCAGCTCTGGCACTACGGGCTCAACCCCCTGCGCATGTCCATGTGGGTGGAGGACATCCTGGACAAGTTCATGAGGTATGTAGGGCCCTCAGAGGAGAAAAGTGCAAAAAAGATGGAAAAACCATCCAAGGGACACCTTCCACTAGCCCAGGTTGCTCCAAGCCCCGTCCATCCTGGCCTTGGACACTTCCAGGGATGGGGCAGCCACAGCATCTCTGGGCAACCTGTGCCAGGGCCTCCCCACCCTCATCATAAAAAAATTCCTTATACCCTCTTTGTCCTGTCCTTCCAGGCCCTTGTCCTGCTGCTCCCACAAAGGGCTGGGAGCTACATCATGAGATCCCCAACAGCTTCCCAGAGCCACAGAGATAATTAATAATGAATTCCTTGTCTCCAATTAAAGGATCTATCGCTACCAGATGCACGACTACGCCTTCAGCAGCAATGAGCAGCTGTTGCACGCCCTGGGAGGGGACGAGTTCATGCGGATGCTGAACCAGAGCATCGACGAGGCCCTGCAGAGAGCGGGGTTCTCCCAAAAATTCATCAACGAGGTCATCTGTCCGGTCATGAGGGTTAACTATGGGCAAGGAGTCAACATCAATGCCTTTGTAGGTGAGTGTTTTGGAGGTCAGTCTCCCATCCTGGCTGTCCCAGGGACCTCATGCTCTTCACAGGTGTTGGGATTCCTGCTCCCTGGACTCCAAGCTGAGCCTCAAAGGGATATTTATCCCCCCTAATTCTGTGCTTTGCCTTTGCAGTGCTTCCCTACACAATGACACCAAATGATGGTGGTTTCCTTGCAGGTGCTGTTTCTCTGGCCGGGGTGCAGTCAGGTCATTGGTCTGTGAAAGGGGGGAACAAACTCGTCTGCCCCGGCCTCCTCTATGCCGCCAAGGCTGACGTTATCCCTGGAACAGTTGTGTCCATAGAGCCAAAAATCAGACCCAGGCCCAGTGGTGAGTTGGGGTGGATTTCCCTCAGTGGGGAGGGGAATGGCAACACTGGAGACCACCCTCAGCCCCATGGCTGCAGCTCCATGGGCTTTCAGGATGAAAATTCTTCCCTGGGAGGGTGGGGAGGGGCTGGGATGGAATTCCCAGAGCAGCTGTGGCTCCCCCATCCCTGGAAGTGTGCAAGGCCAGGTTGGAGGGGCTTGGAGCAAACTGGGATAGTGGAAGGTGTCTCTGCCCATGGCAGGGGGTGGGACTGGATGGGCTTTAAGATCCCTGTCAACCCAAACCATTCCATGATTCCATGTAAACAGGACACAAAACCCAGCTGACAGCTAAGCTGGTACTATAAACCCAAATGGGAAAAATGGGATTCCCTCCTGTCACGAGGTGGGATAACCGAGCTGTTCTCTGCAGGGGATCCCGTGAAGCTGTACCAGGTCACCTACAACACGTCCTCAGGGCTGACAGGGGACACGTACGACATGGTCATCATCGCTGCTCCGCTGGGCCGCAGCATGGCCAACATCACCTTCAAGAACTTCGACCCTCCCGTCCCGGAATTCCCAAATCCCTACCACCAGACTGTCACCACCCTGGTGCACGGGCGGTTAAACACCTCTTTCTTTGGCTACCAGGACCCACAGGCCTTTCATCTGGGCGGCATCTTCACCACGGAGAACCCCAAGCTGTTCGTCAACAGCCTGGGGGTGGTGCACCCCGTGGGGGACGCCACGGGGGACGGGAAGCTACCGTTGGAATCAGCCATCTGGAAGATATTTTCCAACGAAGTGCTCACCAAGGAGCAGCTCACCCTGCTCTTCTCCTCGTACGACTCGGTCAAGGTGAAGTCGTGGCTGGCGTATCCCCAGTACAGCTCTCCCGAGAAATGCCCCCCCATCATCCTGCACGACCACGTGTACTACCTGAACGGGCTGGAGCGGGCGGCCAGCGCCATGGAGATGAGTGCCATCGCCGCCAGGAACGCTGCCCTCCTCGCCTTCCACCGCTGGCACGGCCGCTCCGACAGGGTCGACCAGGAGGGCCTGCACGAGAAGCTCAAAACGGAGCTCTGACCCCCCGGGTTCATTAACACTAACGAACAGGAACTCCCTGCTGAGCACACCCAGGGTGTTCGGTACAACTGAGGGACAGGCTTGGAAAAGGCTTTTAAGATCATCGAGTCCAACCTCTGACAACACCACCACCATGGGAAAGACCTTCAAGAGCATCAAGTCCAACACCACCACCATGGTCACCTCTCTGGAAAAGACCTTCAAGATCACTGAGTCCAGCATCAACCCAACACCACGGTCACCACTAATTATGCCACATCCACAGGGTTTCTGAACGCTTCCAGGGCTGAACAACCCCTTCCCTGAAGAAAATGTTCCTCATATCCAACCTCAACCTCCCGTGGTGCAACTTGAGGCCATTTGGCCAACCCAGGAGGGGTGAAGTGGCACAGGAGGCATTCCCAAGCGAGCCAGGACATTTTCCTCAAGCAAATGCCTTTTCCTCAAACTCCTCCAGCTATCCCTGTCTGAGATTAGAGAAGTCATTCAAAGTGCCACATTGACCCCAAAAGTGCCATATTGACCCCAAAAGTTCCCTCCCAGCTCAGGATGACTGTGAAGCCCTGCTGATATCCCTATCCCTATTCTGATAACCCTGTGATATCCCTTCTCCAGCTTGGAATATCCACTCCTTGACTGTCCATCTCTCTGCCTCAGCTACTTTCCGAAGTGTCTACCAAGTAATTATTCCTCAGGGTGGAAACTGGGGTTTAATTAGCTTCCCAAACTGCTTATGGGAGGGGGACTTATGTGCTGCGAGCTGCCAAAATGGGTGGGAAAGAAGGAAAACCACAAATATCCATCGCTGTATCGGGGTGTGAAGGAGTTAGTAAGGATTTCATGGCCTGAACGTTTTTTAAGGTCATGAAATAACATGAATAACACCAGAAGTAGCACAAGTTTAACACCCTCTTCAATAAATTCAGCCTCCTTTAAAGTTTTCCTGAGACTGGGAGTGGAATTAACACCCAGCTGGCAAAAAACGATGTAAGGATGAGTTATGTCAACCATTACAAAATTTATTTTAAAACAAAACAAAATAGTTGTATCCTCGTGGGCATCATCCTGGGGGAGGGAACAGCACCAGTGGGTCGGGATTCGGGTTTTTCCAGAGTTATACTCGTTCCAAAGCTTCCAGCATGATGATGCTGTTCCCTCGGATCACCTGGAAGGGGAAAGTTGAGAGTGCAGCAGGATGGAGACAGCATCCAAAGCTTTGTAAAGCCCAGGCTGGCACATCCCACACCTGTCCCTTGCCCTGCCCACCCCGGCCGTGCCTGTGCCCAGCAGCCCGTCCCAGTGCCCCCAGTGCACTCACCACCATGCCGATGTTGTTCTGCTGCCCGCCCGGCGCCATCTCCACGCACTCATCGATGACCAGGTTCATGAAGGGGTCGAAGCCCCTCAGGATCCCCTGCACGTGCCGGCCCCCGTTCAGCTTCACTGCGGGGAACCCGGGGGGGTTAGGGGAGGGCAAACCCCAAAACGGGAGGGATTCACCCCAAAACCGCAGCTCGGGAGGGGCGGGACACGTGTGTGGGGGGTGTTAATGGGGAGGGTTTAGTGCAGCCCGTTGAGGGGGTGAGAGAGGGAGAAAAAGGGAGTTTTAAATTAATTTTATACTTAAATTTTTGGATTAGGTCTTAATGGGTTGTAACTTCAATGGATTTTAATTTAAATTAGTGGATTGTGAAGCCTGAAATTAGGCAGGGTCTGCTCCAGGGGGTCTGGTCTGTGCTGGGCAGGACCCCCCTCCCTGGGCACTGTGAGGGGGTCCCCAAAATCAGGGGCCGTGCGGGGACCGGCGTGGGCGGAGGGCCCTGATACCGGGGGGGGCAGGGGTCCCGTTCCCCCCGCGGGGACGGGATCAGCCACGGGACTCACGCGACAGCTTCTTGTCCATGAACCTGCAACGAAAGGGCGGCCGGGTCAGCAGCGGCGGGGGGGAAACGGGGCGAGAGACCCCCCTGCACCGTCCCCCCTCCACCGCCGCCATCACACCGGGGCGACCACCCCGCCGCCGCCATGACAGCGCGGTGCACGCCGGAACAGCGGCACGCCGCGGCCCCCGCGCTTCCCCTCGGCCCCCTCATCCCCCGAGCCGGTCCCGGCCCGGTCCCACCCCCGGTGCCGCCCCCGGACCCACTTTTTCAGCTCCGGCGGGTGCGCTTTGCTCATGGCGCCCTCAGCTCGTCCCTGCCGCGCGCTGGCTCTGACGTCACCGCGCCCCGACGTCACTGCGGCCCGCCAGCCAATGGCGGCGGGCGGCGCCGCTACCGTACTGATTCGAGTAGCGGCGCGGTTTGATGGGGGGGAGCGGGACGTGCGAGGCTTTACGGGAGATACGGTACGGCCGCCATGGGGTGTGCGGGTGTGAACACGTGTGAACACGTGTGTGTGTGTGAGAGAACATGTGTGTGTGAGAACACGTGTGTGTGTGTGAGAACATGTGTGTGTGAACGAATGTGTGTGTGTGTGGGGGTGAGTGCACGTGTGCATGTTGTGTGCATGTTGTGTGCATGCTGTGTGCATGTGTGTGCACATGTCCACATGCATGCCGTGTGTTCACAGTGTGTGTCTGTGCACGTGTGTAGGGGGTGTGTGTGCACGGGTGTACATGTGTGGTGTACATGTGTGCCCATGTCCATACCTGTGTGGTGCGTGTACGGTGTGTGTGCACATGTGTACATGTGTGCAATGTGTGTGTGGCTGGGGCTCACCCCGGGGCTGTGCCCGTGTGCAGGAGCCACCCCATGCCATGTACACACACGCGGGGGTCCCCCTGAGCCCTGCAGACCACCCCCCCCCCGCCCCCCAGTACATTTGGGGTCACCCCACACCAGCATCACCCCGCACAGAGCGCTCTGGGCTCCCCCTGCCCAAGCAGGGCCACGGGTGCCCCCAGCCCCACCCTCCCCACCACAGCCCCCCAAGTTGGGGGTGCACCCCTGGGTGCCCACCAGCCCCATTTGTGTGCCCCATCCTCCCCTGAGCCCCCCCAAGATGGGGGTGCCCACCAGCCCCACCCAGGACACCCCCAGCACCCATGGGAGGGGCCCCTCGTGTGTTTTGGGGAGTCCCAGCTGGGGGGGGTCCCAGGTGAGTTTTGGGTTGTACCAATATCTTTTGGTGTATCCCAGGCGTGTTTTGGGAATTTCCAGGTGTACTGGGGGGGTGTCCCAGCTGTATTTTGGGGTGCAGGAGAAGCCAAAACCAGCTCAGCTGTATTTTGGGGTGGGGGTGTCCCAGGTGAGTTTTGGGTTGTACCAAGTGTATTTTGGGGGGTCCCAGGCAGGGTTTGGGTGGTACCAATGTCCTTTGGTGAATCCCAGGTACGTTTTGAGAACTCCCAGGTGTATTTGGAGGGTCCCAGGTGAGTTTTGGGTTGTACCAAGTATATTTTGGGGGATCCCAAGCGGGGTTTGGGTGGTACCAATGTCCTTCGGTGTGTCCCAGCTGCGCTTTGGGAATTCCCACAGCCGCTCTCCTTTGACGAGGCCGTTGGGGGGGTCTCCCCGGTGCCCCCCATCACTGCTGGATGGCAGCCAGCCCGTCCCTCATCTTCCTGGCCATGAGGGGCACGAGGCGCAGGTGCTGGTCCCCGCAGGAGGCCAGGCAGGCGTCCAGCTGCCCCCTCACCTTGGGCTCCGAGCCCCCCGAGTCCAGCGCGTCCTTCGCCTGGTCCCGGCACTGCAGGGAGCAGCGGCTCAGCCGGTCCTGGGGGGGGGGGAACCGGGGGTGGGGGGGGTCATGGGCTGTATGGGGGTGCTGGGGGGCACACAGGGTGTTGGGGAGCACAGGAGATGCACTGGATGGAGGACACAGGGCGTGTCTGGGGGCACAGGACACGTGGGGGCACAGGGAATGTTGAGGGGTGCAGGAGATACAATGGGGGGCACAGGGTGTGTTGGGGGGCAGAGGAGATGCACTGGGGGGCAGAGGGCACATTTAGGGGGCACAGGACATGCAGTGAGGGGGTGCAGAGATTTGGGGGGGTCAGGCCCTGCACAGGGTGTGGGGGTGGGCAGGGCTGGTTCAGGGTGTGCTGGGGGGCACGGGGCTGGCACTGGGGGAGGAATGTCTCACCTGGAAGTGCTCGAGCTCGGCAGTGACGATGGCCTGGGCCTGGGCCAGGGGCGCGTGGCAGCGCTCGATGCAGCGCTGGACCTCCTGCATGGAGGCTGAGCCGTCCTCACAGCAACGGGCACTGCACCGGAACATGGCACCCTGGGCACGGGGGGACAGGGTGAGGGGGGACACCCCCGGGACAGGGGGAGTTAATGGGGGCACCCCCAGGGATGTGGAGGGGACAGGGGAGTTGATGGGGGACACCCGGAGGGACAGGGAGAGGAGGGGGAGGCAGTGAGTGACCCCCCCCAGGGACGTGGAGGGGACAGGGGGGGTTAGTGGGGTCATCCAGAGGGGCATGGCAGGCAGGGGGGCAGCGTCGGGGCGTGTCGGGGGGGGCAGCGTGGGGGACAACCCCCCCACTCTGTGGGAGACCCCAGGAGGAGCCCCCTGAGCCTGCAGCTGCCCTGGGAATGGGGGGGACGGGGCGTGGGGGGGGCACAGGGCATATTTAGGGGGCACAGGGCATATTTAGGGGGCACACGGTGTGTGTGGGGACAGAGGAGAAGCACTGGGGGGGGGGCACAAGGTCCCGGGGGGTTCACAGGGCTGGTCACGGCGCTGCCCGGGCTCACACGTGGGGTCTGGGGGGCGGCGGCCCCCGCGCGGTCCTGGAGCCCCCGGGGGTGTCCCCCCCGTGTCCCCCCCCGTGCCCCCCGCCCCGGTACCTGCATGGCGCGGATCCGCTCCCGCTCCAGCCCCTGCACCGCGCTCTCCACGGCCGCCTGGACCCGGCCCTGCGCCGCCTCCGCCTCCGCCATCCCCGCCCGGCACCGCGGCCTCGGGCCCGCCCCGAGCGGGGCCGGGAACACACGGGGCGGGCCGGGGGGGACGGGCCAGGACCGGGCCGGGGGGGACGGGAACCATCGGGGTGTATCCCAGGGAATCCGGGAGCTCCCAACCCTGCTGCCCCCCAAAAATCGGGGCGGGGGGGGGGAGGTCGGGCCGGGCAACCCCAGGGGGCTCGGGGTGGGGTGGATGGGGCGATACAACCCCCCCGTGCTCCAATGTCCATCCCCAAAATCGGGGGCTCGGGGGGGGGGCAGTGCCAACCCTCCTCATTGCAATGCCCGCCCCCCAAAAAACGGGGGGGGCCGAGCCGGGTCCCCATGGGGGGCCCAGGGGGGCAATGCAACCCCCCCCCCCCACGTGCTGCAATGACCGGGGTCACCCCCCTAGGACTTTAATCCAGAACAAGGATTAAGGTCATTTCCCCCCTCACCCCCCAAACTGGCCATGGAGGAAAAGCAACACCCCAAATTCGCTGTGTTCCCCCCCCCAAACACATCCCTGACACTGCTGGCAGGGTGGGTCAGGGATGAGACCCTGCAGCCCCCCAAACACATCCCCTACGCTTTTTGGGGGGGGTGTGGGGATGTGGCCCCCCAGGCCCCCAAAATTCTGCAGGTCCACCCTTTCCTTTTGGGATAAAAACATAGGAAAAAGGGGCTGAGCCCATCACTGGAGCATCAGTCCTGCACCCTGGGGATACTCCCCACCCTATCACAGGACCCAGCACCTCCTTCAAAAATATCCCCCCAAAAAAGCCCCAAACCACGAGTTTTCTGAAAAAAAGTGTCTTTTATAGCACTTAAATAACTCTAATCCAGGTATTAGGAGGGGAAAAAAAAAAGACCAGGCGATCACAAGAACATATTTATAGGAATCAAAATTAATTTAAACCACACAAAATAAATTAAAACATTAAATATTAACTTTCAGTGCAACATATACAGAAGACATGAGAGTAACCATGACTTAAAAAAAACCAAAAATAACCCAAAAACAGAGGAAAAAGCGCCAGGTTGGTTAT